GCCCAACCATCCACCTAGACTAGTCAATTCCATTAGACAAGACTAGGGTGAATCTAATCACGGTGAATCTAGTTGACCGCCCATAACCGTGGGCACGGCTATTCGAATATTTTTACTCTGATTAGAGGTGTACAACTGTACCCACAAGACACAGCCCCACAACACTTTTCCGTGCGCCGACATGCCACCACGACATACCGGATAGAGGCCGTGACAGGACCCTTCGCATAACCCCCTCTAACCAAGCACACCACACATCAGGTTTCACCCCCACTCCTCACAAGGTAGCGGGCAGTCCCCTCTCGTGCCTAGGTGAATCCGAAAGCCGCATAGGCCGTCGCAGGGCCCATCCAAACTCCATCACGCCCAAAGCTACACTACAAGCCCAGCCGTTGCCCACGCTGGCTTGTGGTAAGTACGATGAATTCTTCCAGGGTTTCCTGCGAACCGGTCCTTAAGTGCCATGGGCGTGACCATCAAAACCATGCACCCACAGCCCATCGTTTTATATATTTTAATTAACCAACACCGGAGCGGTGACATTAACCAACATCATTACTAGAATCTGATATCTATGCATTAATGTATCTCCCCCACTGTGTACTAGTTGAACTAAGCATGGCTAAGCAATCCCTAGTCCAATATCTAGTCATGTTATATCCCCAAGCTAACGAAGGAATATGGTACAAAAATAGTATGGCTGTAACAGTAGGTAAACATCCCATAGTAACATTATAAAACGATGCAGTACTTAAAGGAAAATGGTAGAGCATTTGCAATATAGGATTAACATGTTCAAGTGACAAGCATGACTCTGCTGCTGGAGGAACCTCGGCGACTATTTCAAAGTACACCGGAGCGTCGGGAGAGCCGGAATCTAAGTGACAAACAAAGCAAACAATACAAACATGCTATAAGACTACTGAAACAGAGAACAAAACCATTTTTAATGGATTCTATGCATTTTTCTTGACTTTCTGAGACTTGAATGGGCTTAAACGGAGCTCGGATGAATTAGATATGAATTTCAGAAGATTCACTGTGTTTTACTATAAACAGAAAAAACTTTAATTGATTTATTGCGCAATTATTAGCCCTGGTGACATCATCAGAGAGAGAGAGAGAGAGAGGGCGGCGCCGACATGCGGGCCCCACATGGCAGTGACTTTGTGGGGCGGTCCACGGACCGGGGAGGAGCGGCGCACCACGTTGTGCACACATGGCGTCGACACGGCGCACATGTGGCGGCCACGTGGCAGCCATGCGGGCAACTGGGTTGGATGGCCTCGATCCACTCGGGGTGGATCGGACGGCGGAGGGGGCGGCACGCGGCCGGTGCGGGCGGCTCAAGCTGACCCGGGGCCATGGCGCGGCAGCGGCGCGGCACCGGCAGCGATCGGCGGACGGCGGCGGCGATTCGGCAGATGGCGACGGCGCGACAACGGCTATGCGGCGGCGCTACTAGGGGAAAAGAGAGGAGGAAGAAAGAAGGGGAAGGAGGGGCGTCCTCACCGAAGGGGTCCGACTGGCGTGGAGGGAGACGACGGCGACCGGCGACGAGGAACGACGGAGGGAGGTCGACAAGCGGCGGACGGGGTCCGGGACGGCCTAAGGAACAAAATGGGGGAAATTAGAGACGGAGAGAGAGACCATAAAGGGCGGGAACGCCGGCCGAAGGCGGCGGCCATGGCGTTTCTTACCGGCGCACGACGGGAATGGGGCTTCGGCGGCGAATTCGGCTGGGGAAACGGCGGACGAGGTGGTCTCCGGGCTTGCGAACCCAACGGCGTCGACGGCTAGGCTCGTCGGCGACCCTAGCGGCGGCGAGCAGTGACCAGAGAGGGGAAAAGCGGCGGCAGCGGCGGCGGCGGCTGTGGCACGGTGCTAAGGCGGTAGAGGGCACGAGAGAGCTCGGCGTAAAGGGGAAAAAGAGAGAGGGAGGGGCGGTGGTGCTTAAATAGGAGAGGAGGGGTCCAGACGTGGCCGGGAGAGGCGGGAATCGCCGGCCGACGTGGGGGAGTGGGAGAGGAGAGAGAGGCGGGATTCGAAATTTGAATCCCGGCCATCTCGGGAGTGCGGGCGAACGGGAAAGGGGGTTGAGGGGCGCGGGAAAAGCGGGCGCACGCGCGGGCGTGGCCGACGTGGCGCGGGGAAGGCGGGCGCGGGCGGTTGCGAGGCGGCGGCTGCGGACGGCGGGCGGCCGGAGGTTAGGGATGGGCCCGACATTTGGGGCCCACCTGTCGGTGACCCTAGGGGAGGAGGGGCGGTGGGCGGCTGGCTACTGGGCCTTGGCCTTCGGCCGGCCCAGCGGGGAGGGGGAGGGGGAAAAGAATGGGCCGGCGGCCCATTCGAAAAAAAAGAGGGAAAAAGAAAAGAAAAGGAAAGAATTGAATTTCCAGGGATTAAATAATGCTTGTGCTCATTTTTAATTGGTTAAAATTATTTCTGGAGCTCTGAAAATTCCACTAAAAATCTTGTTAGCATATTTCGACATGTAAAACTCAAGAAAAATTACACATGTCAATTCCGATTATTATTAGCATTAATTTATTTAGGGTTTCTCTCTTACTTTTACACCGATATTTTCTCAAGGTTATTTATAAGTTAAATTTAGGCTTGGGAAAACAACTTCAGGGTGTGACACTTGCGTTCTGTGGCGTCGGAGGAAGAGACAGCGATGGCAAGGAAGAGAGAGAAGGAAGAGGAGAGGTTGCGGGAAGGGGGAGAGGGCATGGGCCTACAGTTGGCCAGCGGTTGCGGCTGGCTAGATTTGGCCAGTTGCTAGCATGGTTTGGCTAGCGAGATGGCTTGGCCAGCCAGTTGGAGAGGCTGTTGGATTACATTTTTTTCATGTGTTGGTTATAATTTGGCTTGGAGATGCTCTAATGAAAGAAACAATCGCCATTTCAGCTTTCAGGGAATTGATGTTCAATTTTAATGATTTCACGGTGTATATGCTGATGACTAGACAAAGGGCCAGTTTAGTTCCCAAAAATTTTCCCCTTCACCTGTTACATCGAATCTTTAGACACATGCATGGAGCATTAAATGTGGACAAAAAGAAAAACCAATTGCACAGTTTAGCTATAAATCGCGAGACGAATCTTTTAAGCCTAATTAGGCCATGATTAGCTATAAGTGCTACAGTAACCCACATGTGGTAATGACGGCTTAAGTAGGCTCAAAAGATTTGTCTCGCGGTTTCCAGGCGAGTTCTGAAATTAGTTTTTTCATTCGTGTCCGAAAACCCCTTCCGACATCCAGTCAAACGTCTGATGTGACACCCAAAAATTTCCTTTTGCCCAACTAATCACAGCCATAGGAACGCCCTAGGCTGACTGCAGAAGACTCAAATCAAGTCAGGGGAGACCAAGGACTTGACCAAACTCCTGTTCATACATTCCACGAAATCCACATGGCAGAATGTGAAATGACGATACCATGTGATGCTGCAATGGGACAATGCCCAAAGGAGCCCAGTGGTGGAGCCAGCTGAGCTACTATACTAGCCACCGTACTGCCAACGTGCCAATGGCGGCTATGGAGTATGGAGAACGCAGTTGGTGGCAGGCTGACTACACTAATCCCTTAATTATTCCACCAAAACAGAAATTAAGCGGCAACTGTTTCGATTGCATATTGACCGTCAGTCTCCCGTCAGCCCAATAGTATTCCACTGTTTGAGGCCTCGTTGAAAAATTCAGCGAATTTCAATCTGAACCACCACGTTTCAAACTACGAATACCTGCAAATTGAAAAAAAAGTTGTCCCAACTACTGCTGCTCTGACCAGCTACTCCCTGAATCCTGAGAGAGAAAGCAAGAAGGTTAGGCAGGCCACCCATTCGTTGCTGATCATCAGTCGACCGTTCCAAGAACCTGTAACCACCCCCCTTGTAAATGAAAGGTTACTTCCTACCAGACATCCGGCAAGTTGGAATCAGTCTCGCTTAGAAAAATGCATGCAACGATAAGATATCTAGCAGCCATCGCATAAACAATGCCAATTGAACCCATCACTTTCCACATGCAAGAAATCTCGATTCTATTATTAACTCGACCCCAATTTTCTTTAGTCCGTTCTTCAGAACAGATTGTTATGCTTCAAAGTTGTTCTTTTCCGGTCCACGAGAAATTGTTACTACATGTATGTTTAGTATGTTTAGTTCACGTTAAAATTGGAAGTTTGGTTGAAATTGGAACGATGTGACAGAAAAGTTGAAAGTTTGTGTGTGTAGGAAAATTTTGATGTGATGGAAAAGTTGGAAGTTTGAAGAAAAATTTGGAACTAAACAAGGGCTACGGCTGTTTAGTTCCACGTCAAAATTGGAAGTTTGAAAAAAATAGAACGATGTGACGGAAAAGTTGAAAGTTTGTATGTGTAGGAAAATTCGATTTGACGGAAAAGTTAGAATCTAAACAAGGCCTACTTGGGCTGTGTTCGATACTAGAAGTTGGGAACACATATCATCCGGACGAAAAACAGAGCGCGGAGCGGTCCATTAGCGCAAGATTAATTAAGTATTAGCTATTTTTTAAAAAAATAGACTAATTTGATTTTTTAAAAAACAACTTTTATATAGAAAACGTACGCATGGAAAACTAGGGACAACCTAGTGAATCGAACTGCAGCTGCAGAAAAAAAGAATGACGAGCTGGTCACTGGTCACTGGTCAGCCGAGGAATGCGTCGCGCGGTCGTGAGGCCGGTGGTGATCACCAATTCACCAACCCCCGCTGTGCCGCGCACCGCACCAACCACAGCTCCCGCGACCGGTGCTCGCGCCTTGCGGCCGGAAGCCCGCGACAACGGCGACCACGACACGAAATTTCCACGCGCGCTTGCCAATTGGCCTCTCACAAATCGTCACGCACCTACTCCGCTACTGCTTGCGACTCGCGAGACGCGAGCGCACACACACACTCTCGCACCAACCACCACCACCACCACCACCACCGAGTTACCCAACCGTTTCACCTATATAAACCCCGCCTCCCCCGCCATTTCCCTCCAAGAAGAGCAGCACGCAATCCAGAGTGCCACACTACCCAGCTCTTCTTCTTCTTCTTCTTCACAGCAGCAGCTAACCAAGAAGCCAAAGCTTCCATTGATCACTCGCTCTGCTCACATTCTGATACTGCGATGGAGTGCGAGACTGGCTACGTCGCCGCGGCCGCCGATGGTGGTCTCTGCATGGAGGTGCCCCGCGCCGACCCGCTCAACTGGGGGAAGGCGGCGGAGGAGATGGCCGGGAGCCACCTCGACGAGGTGAAGAGGATGGTGGCGGAGTACCGGCAGCCCGTGGTGCGGATCGAGGGCGCCAGCCTGAGGATCGCGCAGGTGGCGGCGGTTGCCGGCGCCGGCGACGGCGAGGCCGCCATGGTCGAGCTCGACGAGTCGGCGCGGGAGCGCGTCAAGGCCAGCAGCGACTGGGTGATGAACAGCATGGCGAACGGCACCGACAGCTACGGCGTCACCACCGGGTTCGGCGCCACGTCGCACCGGCGGACCAAGGAGGGCGGCGCGCTGCAGCGGGAGCTCATCAGGTTCCTCAACGCCGGCGCCTTCGGCACCGGCGCCGACGGCCACGTCCTCCCCGCGGGTGCCACGCGCGCGGCGATGCTCGTCCGGATCAACACCCTGCTGCAAGGCTACTCCGGCATCCGGTTCGAGATCCTCGAGGCGGTCGCCAAGCTGCTCAACGCCAACGTCACGCCGTGCCTGCCGCTCCGGGGCACGATCACCGCGTCGGGCGACCTCGTCCCGCTCTCCTACATCGCCGGGCTCGTCACCGGCCGGGAGAACTCCGTCGCGGTGGCGCCCGACGGCAGGAAGGTGAACGCCGCCGAGGCGTTCAAGATCGCCGGCATCCAGGGCGGCTTCTTCGAGCTGCAGCCCAAGGAAGGCCTCGCCATGGTGAACGGGACGGCCGTGGGCTCCGGCCTCGCCTCCACCGTGCTGTTCGAGGCCAACGTCCTCGCCATCCTCGCCGAGGTGCTCTCCGCCGTGTTCTGCGAGGTGATGAACGGCAAGCCGGAGTACACCGACCACCTCACCCACAAGCTGAAGCACCACCCGGGGCAGATCGAGGCGGCCGCCATCATGGAGCACATCTTGGAAGGCAGCTCGTACATGAAGGAGGCGAAGAGGCTCGGCGAGCTCGACCCGCTGATGAAGCCGAAGCAGGACAGGTACGCGCTCCGGACGTCGCCGCAGTGGCTCGGCCCCCAGATCGAGGTCATCCGCGCCGCCACCAAGTCGATCGAGCGCGAGATCAACTCCGTCAACGACAACCCGCTCATCGACGTCTCCCGCGGGAAGGCGCTGCACGGCGGCAACTTCCAGGGCACCCCCATCGGCGTGTCCATGGACAACACCCGCCTCGCCATCGCCGCCATCGGGAAGCTCATGTTCGCGCAGTTCTCCGAGCTGGTGAACGACTTCTACAACAACGGCCTGCCCTCCAACCTCTCCGGCGGCCGCAACCCGAGCTTGGACTACGGCTTCAAGGGCGCCGAGATCGCCATGGCGTCCTACTGCTCCGAGCTGCAGTTCTTGGGCAACCCGGTGACCAACCACGTCCAGAGCGCCGAGCAGCACAACCAGGACGTGAACTCGCTGGGCCTCATCTCCTCCAGGAAGACGGCGGAGGCCATCGACATCCTCAAGCTCATGTCCTCCACCTTCCTCGTCGCGCTCTGCCAGGCGATCGACCTGCGCCACATCGAGGAGAACGTCAAGGGCGCCGTCAAGACCTGCGTCATGACGGTCGCCAAGAAGACGCTGAGCACCAACTCCACCGGCGGCCTCCACGTCGCCCGCTTCTGCGAGAAGGACCTGCTCAGCGAGATCGACCGGGAGGCCGTGTTCGCGTACGCCGACGACCCGTGCAGCGCCAACTACCCGCTGATGAAGAAGCTCCGCAGCGTGCTCGTCGAGCGCGCGCTCGCCAACGGCGCCGCCGAGTTCGACGCGGAGACCTCCGTGCTCGCCAAGGTCGCGCGGTTCGAGGAGGAGCTCCGCGCGGCGCTGCCCCGGGCCGTCGAGGCCGCGCGCGCCGCCGTGGAGAGCGGCACGGCGGCGGCGCCCAACAGGATCGCCGAGTGCCGCTCGTACCCGCTCTACCGGTTCGTGCGCGAGGAGCTCGGCACCGCCTACCTCACCGGCGAGAAGACGCGGTCGCCCGGCGAGGAGCTCAACAAGGTGCTCGTCGCGATCAACCAGGGCAAGCACATCGACCCGCTGCTCGAGTGCCTCAAGGAGTGGAACGGCGCGCCACTGCCAATCTGCTGAACATTGGATTCATCAATGGCAGCAGAATTTTTTGGGTGGAAGCGATGGTAGTACAATCCGAAGGTTGAAGATGATGTTTTCATATGACGATACTTTTTTCTTCTTTTACATTTCTTTGTTGTTATCGCAAAAGAATTCTTCGTGCCAAGAACACGCAAACATAGCTGTTGCAAATTGTACAATGTTCAGAAATCGGATTAATAAGAATAATTTTTTTTTCAAGTGTTTGAACTAGCTTCGGTCTGTACATGAACCAGTCAAAAGTAGAAAAAGAAAAATAAAGGAGAGAATTTCCAATTTATTCTCACTTTACATGTTTAAGATATTGCTAGACAGATCATTCAAATTCCTAACTTCAAAATTGGAATATGGAACATCCGATTCAACTGGTTAAAATCTGAAATTTACAGGTTTTGATAAGTTCCAGTCATAATTTAACTTGAGTTTAATTTTCTGATTTGATACGAAGTTTCCCAAAATTCTATCCCAACTATTAGTCAAAACTAAAAAGATAACCCGCGCGAAGATGTAGCGAGACCTTGAACTTATTAAATTATTATCAGCAAGCGCATTACTCAAGAGGGGATTGGGAGTTTAAAGGAGGAAGTTAGTGGATGAATTAGTCATGGGAGTTTTATTTTTACTCACAATCCCTTATTTGGTATTTACTCTGTCCCAAAATATAATACTCCCTCCGTTTTTTAATAGATGACACCGTTGATTTTTTCTCACATGTTTGACCATTCGTCTTATTCAAAAAATTTATGCAAATATATAAGATATAAATCACACTTAAAATACTATGAGTGATAAAACAACTCATAACAAAATAAATTATAATTACATAAATTTTTTGAATAAGACAAATGGTCAAACATGTGAGAAAAAATCAACGGCGTCATCTATTAAAAAACGGAGGTAGTAACTTTTAGTCCTTAGAATTTATCCTAAAATATAACAACTTCTCCAACAAGATTCTCTTCCTAACCAATCATAACTCTCCACCATTCATTTTTCCCACTTACCTCCACTACTTATCCAATCACAACCCTTCGCCACTCACTTCTACCTACTTTCTTAATAATCGTGTCCAACTCTAAAACTTCTTATATTCTAGAACGGAGGGAGTAGTATGGGGGTATGGATGATAATTGAATTTTTAGTGATGATGTATGACTCAGAATTATCTTGTCATAGTTAGAAGGGAAATTCCCCCAATTACCCGTCCCTATACAAGTATTGAGAATGTGGGGGTTTTCAATTAAACTACTTTTGCTAGTCCTTCATGAAACTTTCGCGTTCATAAACCAATCAATAGACTTAATAGTTTCCAATTCCCACTTCTCAAACTCATATTCTCGCTTAACAATTCTCCATGATCAAACACACTGTAATCAGGATTGTCTTAGGGACCTAAATCGTTTGTGTGACTAGCTAGAGCCCAAGCTGGTTCGGGGCCCATCACCAACCAACCTAGTCAACAGGATATCGTTGCCTACCCTGAGGTTTGACTTTCACACGGCCACACGCCCACACCTTATTTCATTATGGCTAGTGCTTAAAGTGCGGTCTTGTGATCTTCTTATTTACATCTGTCTAGTCTAAAATTTGGACTAGGATTTTTTATCTTCTCGCTAATTAAATTATATCTAAAATTATGTTTGTAGTGTTTATTCGTATTATTTTTAATGATATATGATTTATAAAAATATATATTATAAATAAATATATTTAATCTTGACAATCTATATTACGAAGTTCGCGTAGTAACCTCTAAAATATATAGCCAGCCCTGACCGAAATGGAAATGGAAAGGGGTTGGCTCTTCTTGCTCAAAGAAAATCACTGCGCTGTCTCGGTGCGCCGTTTGATTCTTTTCCTGTCGTCGCCTGTCTTGCCGACCTCCCTGCTGCCCCTGCCCTGCCTGCGTCGCTGTATGCCTGTATCTCTCGTACCGAATCGGAAGGCCACACGGTTCACACACCGGTGCAAAGCCAAACTCCACGATTCCTTACTCCAACCTTCGACATCGCAACCGTCGGTGCCCCATCTTACGGCATCCACACGCCGGCACTCTCTCTCCCCCCCCCCCCCCCCCAAACCCCACAAAAACATCCACCACAAAAGATCAGAACACTCTGCAGTCTGCACCACACGTGACGTGCCCACCCCTCCCCTCTCACTGACGCCACGGGCCCCACCTCCTGACCCCTCCATCCAGCCACAGGACCAAAGCCGTCTCCTCTCGGCGTCGGCAGCAGCCCAGCCGTCGAGTCATCGCCTACAAATAGATAGCACCACCACGCCGCGCCGCCGTGAGCTGATTGCCAACGAATTCCCCGTGCGCCGTGCGCCTCGCCCTCCCCTCCCTCCCTCCTCGTGCCGTTGCCCCCCGGTTGGACTCGGCGCGCTTGCTTCTCGCTCGCGGCTGCTCGTAACCTCGCCTCGCCTCGCCCTCCTGCAGCACGCGCGGCTGGCTGCCCGACCCAGATCCGGAGCGCCATGTCGAGGAATCCGGGCTGCACCGTCTTCATAGGTGAGATGAGATCTCCCCTTCCCTTCCCGCCTACGGGTCCTAGCTCTCGCTGGTTCATCCGGGGCTTTCCCCCCCCAATTCCCCCAATTCTCTGTGGCTGGCTGCTGGGCTGGTTCGCGGGATTTTGGTGGGGGGGATTCGTGGTGATTTTGGCGTGGCCGGCTCGTAATTTCGGCGGGTTTGTGTTTGCCTGAGTTCTGATTGATTGGTCGCTGCTGCGTCGTCCCCAAATCGGGATTGCTTTTCCCCCGCGGCGGGATACGTTGTTTCCTGTCGATTCGATTTGATTAGCAACCGGGTTTGTATTGCATATCTCATGCTGTTTGTGCTCCGTGGATAGATGTAGTACCTGTTGCTGTTCGGTACGGGCGATTAGACGAGTTATGCAGCGAAATTAGCTAGACTAGTACAAAGTTGCAAAGGTAGAGGTAGGGTTTCGAGTTATCACCACATACACTAGATTGATGATTGCGTGGTTGAGGTGTTATTAAGCAGGATACTGTGCCCCCGTTAGCATTAGGATTTAAACCGTAGATTTATTTTGTATTTGCCCTCATATTTAGCCTAGCACGTCCATTGCTTCATCTTGTATAGGCTCTGATTTCTTTCTGCTAGCGCTTTAATTGCTTGTGCTTGTATATATTCTCCTAGAGTAGGAACAGTACTCTTTCGTGTTCATATTCTTTTGTTAACTAACAACACGATCTCCACTTGCCCAAATACCATTTCGAGATGTCACTTGTCCCCTGCTATTTATGCATAACTAGTGGATCTTCCCATGCAATTTTGTACGAGCTAGACAATAAAGGAAGTATTTGATATGCATCTCTCTTCTCTTTCCTTGATTACAATTATATTTTTGTATTCAACTATTTTGCTTATGTTTTCATAAGTTCGTTCAGTATTTTGTATAGAACTATGAATCAATCAACACCATTCTACTTTGGATCCACCACGGTTTAACGATATATTTCTTCTAGAGCAAACCTGGTGGCTTCTTTTCAAGCTATCTTATATTAGAGATTGGCAGAGTGGCAGCTGGGAACTTTTTAAATATGGATGTAGTAAAATTAAGCATTCAATGGATCATATTGGACATATGTTTATAGAAATCCATTAGGCTGAATTCTAACTTGGTAATACATCCCAACTAGGGGTTCAGATTTGGAGAAGTTTTTATTTGTGCTTGTCGTATCATTATGAACTCAGTTACTTAAGGTGTTATAATCCTTACGTTCAAGTAAGGAATATCAGAAAAATCCTTTGCAAGTCATCCTCCATCGCCATGTTCTTTGATTGCATCATGTGTGTTCTTGGCTTGTCAGTTTCTTAATTTGGTAGTATAGCTGATTTATTGTCTTTTCACCAGCATTATGTGCACCTTCATCTTTATTTGATGCTTGTCAGATGCAGATCTGTGGCATGGCTAACTGTGTTATCGTTCGCTGGTGTTGATATTTCACAATGATTGTTCTTATGCTACTTTGTCTCTTGTTTTTGTCTTCAGCTACAATAAGCTGTATAATTTCGCTAACTCTTATTTTTCTTAAATAGGTAACTTGGATGAAAAGGTACCTGAGAGGGTCTTGTATGAGATTCTTATTCAGGTAGGTCGTGTTGTAGACCTACACATACCACGTGACAAGGAAACTAATCGCTCCAAAGGTTATGCTTTTGCTGAGTATGAAACAGAGGAGATTGCCCAGTATGCTGTTAAGCTATTTTCTGGCCTTGTTCGTCTTCATAATAGAACACTTAGATTTGCGGTGCGTTTCTTTATGCCCTCTATTTATATAACTTATTTTTGTGTAACAGAATCATGTTCTGTTGTTCTTATAATTTGGTTTGTTACTGTTAATAACTTAATAATATGCACTATATGATACTATATTTGAATGGTTGGCTAAGTTTTTGCTTGACCTATTATGGTTGACTAGTTGTGAAGTGATTCCGGCTGAGCGCTTTATTCCTATTTTCTTCAGATTTCTGGACAAGACAAGCAATCTTCTAATGGAAATATTCCTGTAACACCTAAAGTGAACCCTATACCGCCACCAAAGCCGGCTCAGCTAATGAGATCTAGTGATACTCCCGCATCGCAACATACAGTGGTAAATGGCAGGATTGCTGGTATTTCTCCAAACCATTCTTATAGTGCGCACTCTGAGGGTGAGAGAGTTTCCTTATTCCTTTCAAAATATAAGACACTGTATGGTTTTTAATTAAATCTTACAATTCCCTTTTCTTGTCCAGCACCAAGTGGGATATCGAGTAGAGGATTAAGCAATGGTACATACGAATATAGTAGACGCGTATTTGGTTCTGTTCTGAATGACGTTAGCCGTCGTACTGACAGGCAACCAATTCCATACCCGTCCTACTAGCATATTGAGCTCCAGGGAAGAACATGGTATGCTAACAGATTAGCCCAGCGATGTCAATGTTCGTTGTCTCAGCCCTTCTGTAATATCATCTATGTATTCACCATTACATGCATGTAAATATGTCTTATGGCTTAGTCGTGTAGGCCGATGCTTATCTTTTCCATTGTTCTGTTCTCAACATTGTAGTCAGACTTGTGCCCGCTGGTTATCTCCCATGTCATGTCCTAGTGATAGCATCATGCCTCCACTAATGCAGCTGTACCAAGACTTAGTCTAATTGCAGGGATGGCTGGCAATTTGTGTTTTAATATTTAATCTAGTGATGTTTGTTGTTGCTTCTGTGTTCCAGTGGGACCAAGTTTGTGCTTGAGTTCTTGGTGTATTTTGTTCTTCTCGTCAAAGTTGGTTTGTATTATGTTGGGCATCACAAAAGATAATGTCATTGTCTACTATTTAAAAAACAGTGCAAATCTACTGAAATTTAATGTTTATTTATGAATATGAAAGATGTTTTAGATGACTTGTTCGTCTTGAGCAATATTTTTATGGAAGTCACAGGCATTCATATGCATCATCACTCTGGATCCAGCATTGGCCGCCTCTGGCTCTGGAGTGATGGAGACGTGCATTTCCTATTGCTTGAGTGCTCAGCTGCAACATCAATCTTCTGGTATGCCTACTTGCTCATCTTGCTGTGAGTCCAAGGATGCCATTGATGCCAAATTATTCAGTTGGAAATATTGCTGTGAGTCCAAGGATGCCATTGATGCCAAATTATTCAGTTGGAAATATTTATAATGTCGAACAACAATTCAAGATGGACTTTGCCTGTCATGCAAGCTTGCTACTTGTTTTTTTGACCCTGTGTGCAGTCAGTTTGTGAAGAACCCTACTGAAGGTGGGTAATTTTGATGCGGAAGATAGTGCGACTTCTGAGCTGCACCGCCTGCACAGATCTTAGGTGAGCTACTGTTTAAATTGTGGAGTTTGTAAGCATCAGGCGGTTTATCTTGTGAAGTTTTGCTTCATAGACTCGACATCCAGGATTCAGGAACGATAAGAATTGAACCTTTCCTTCCTGCTTTCTCAGATCGTCTTTTTTCATAATTAGCTTCTTCCAACCAACTTTGGTCTGTTTGTTTGTAGTGGAACTGTTGCTGTTCACTGGAATCTGTGTAGGCATAAAAGGCTGTACTTTTCTGTATTGCTCCGTTCAAAATTAAAATGTCAGGAACATCGAGTATTTCAGAGCTTGTGGTTCGTTAGAATCTTGCTTTGTTGCCGCCTAACTGCCATTCCATGGAAGAGTCGGGAGTCAAACAGAAGCCGAACAGCCCAACATCGTGCAAACTTGTCGCTGGAGACGCTAACTACATGCATGGCTTTTCTCTTCAGTGTATCAAACGATGGACGCCGCCCCTCTGCGTCCCCGCTTGTGCGTACCATCGTCCAAGGCTCGGTGGCTAGCTCACACTGCCAGCATGAGCTTCCCTCTCCTCACACGAAGCGCCTTGCTAACTGAACCGCTTCGCCGAGCCGGGATAGATAGCCGGCGTTTTCGGGCATCTCCTCCCCTGCCTCCTCCATCGATCTCCTTCGTATACGCAATCGGTGTCTCGATCCATATTCCATTTCAGTAGGCAGCTAAGCTTGAAACGTCCACTGCAATGATGGTTTGTGTTTGTATACATATGGATGCATTTGACTACGTGTCTTTTGTTGTGGTTAGTTTGGGTGGTTGTTAATGTCGATCGGTTGGATTCAGGCACTGACGGAGCGGCAGCCGCAGTCGGAGAAGAAGGCGGCGAGGGCGAGGCCGATGTCGGCGAAGGCCGTCGTCGTGCTCTGCGCCACGAGCTTCTTCGTCGGCCTGCTGCTCAGCGGCCGGATGACGCTTCTGATGCCACCGCCGTCGGGCAGCGTCGGCGCGGCCTCCTCCGGCCATGGCTCCAGGCTCTCCCTCTTCTCCGACGACTGCGAGCACCGGCATGTAAGTATATCCATTCATGCACATTTCGACCAAAATCTTTACAGAACTGCATAGGGAACAACTGAACACTCGTTTGAATTTCTGGATTGCAGAAACTGGACGAGGGCAACCCGAACGACATCATGAACGAGGTGTCAAGAACTCACCAAGCAATCCAGTAAGTCCGAAACGCAAACAATCAAGTACAGTAGACAGTCTCTAGTCGTGATCGAATTGTTGCTACTTAGGTCGTTGGACAAGTCGGTGTCGTCGCTGGAGATGGAGCTGGCGGTGGAGCGCGCGAAGCAGAACGGCGGGCTGGGCGCGGCGGTGCCGTCGAAGCGGGGGCGGCGGCCGCCCAGGGCGTTCGTGGTGATCGGCATCAACACGGCGTTCAGCAGCAAGAAGCGGCGCGACTCGCTCCGGGACACGTGGGTGCCGAGGGGCGAGAGGCTGCGGCGGCTGGAGGAGAAGGGGGTGGTGGTGCGGTTCGTGATCGGGCACAGCGCCACCCCGGGCGGCGCCCTAGACCGCGCCATCGACGTGGAGGACGCCGAGACGCGGGACTTCATGCGGCTCGACCACGTCGAGGGCTACCACGAGCTCTCCTCCAAGACCCGCACCTACTTCACCGCCGCCGTCGCCACCTGGGACGCCGACTTCTACGTCAAGGTCGACGACGACGTCCACGTCAACCTAGGTACGTACAAATACAATTCACAGCTAGATTCACTGTACAGTGCTGTACATTTGTACGTTCGATTGGATGTTGTACAGGGATGCTGACGAGCAGGCTGGCGAGGTACAGGACGAGGCCGAGGGTGTACGTGGGCTGCATGAAGTCCGGCCCGGTTCTGTCACAGAAGTAGGACTGCACGCGAGAACTCGTTTCGTTTCTTGTTAGAGAACACAAGTAACAATCTAACATGAATCGTTGCTGCTCGATCGTGTGTTGTGCATGCATGGCAGGGGCGTGAAGTACCACGAGCCGGAGTACTGGAAGTTCGGGGACGAGGGGAACCGGTACTTCCGGCATGCCACCGGCCAGATCTACGCCATCTCCAAGGACCTCGCCTCCTACATCTCCATCAACCAGTAAGCAAGCAAATCACATTATTATTGCATATATGCTCATAGATAATCTCGCGTGAAAATTGCTTGGCTGAATCGTGTGGAATATGGTGTTGCTGCGAATTAGGCCGATACTGCACCGGTTCGCGAACGAGGACGTGTCGCTGGGGGCGTGGCTGATAGGGCTGGAGGTGGAGCACGTGGACGACCGGAGCCTGTGCTGCGCGACGCCGCCGGACTGCGAGTGGAAGAAGCAGGCGGGGAACGTGTGCGCGGCGTCCTTCGACTGGTCCTGCAGCGGCATCTGCAAGTCCGTCGACAGGATGAGGGCCATCCACAGCGCCTGCGGCGAGGGCGACGGCGCCGTCTCGAACAACTTCGCCGCCGCCGCCGCCGCATGATCGATCGATGTGTACTGCAATACGTACGTACACACACGCTAGCAGCTAGCCACAAGGAAGAGCAGCTATCTTACGGGGTTCCCCCCCTAATTTATCCTTGTTTTGTTTTGTGGGTCTCATAATTAGAAATGGACTAATTATTCACTTGGTTTATATGAACCATGGAGGTGTTAGATAGTCAGACGTGGCGTCCGGTCGATCGGTAGGCGAGATCGATGCTCGGCAACTGCACTGCAAGGGGTAGTTTCAGGCGGCGATTCACTCAATCTGTGTTCTAAAATAGTACTCCCTTTGCCATAAAAAAATACATATGACCATTTTAAAACGGATTAGTAATTCTAATATTCTGGAAAACTTTAGTTGAGAGAAAAAGATGAAATGAGCCTCACTGATACTCCATCCGTGGGTAAGTGATCTTGTCCTTTGTAGTTTGTCTTCAAATATAAAAGACTTTGGTATTCTAATTATCACATTAATCAACTCTAATTCAAAGTTCTTCCCATCTTAAATAGGGGTATCCTAGTCGTTTTCTCTTCAGCAATAATCTCTCCAGAAGAAGAAAAATCATTGTATTATTGTACAGAGGGAGTATTGTTCCCCCGTCAAAAAGACTATCGTTTTACAGTAAAAAACATATAAGAAAGAGATCAAAAGGCTACCATGCACTCCATTAATACAAAGAGAAAACAGGGAGAGGGAGAATGAGAAAGAGAAGAGAGTAATAATGGTTAAATGGCCAAAACGAGATAAAATAGATAAATTGGTATTAAGAGGCTTAGTGGATCCTACAGCTAAAATGATACTCTTTGTGAGACAAATCCAAAACCTAAAAAGACACTATTTTTGAGGTAAAGGGTGAGTATTGGTAGTTTGGAAGGTAAGGAGGGTGGACTAAAAAGTATGTGATGCCACACACCCATATATTCCCTCTATCCATATATACAATCATTCAATTTTTTTTCACAAATATAAGAATTCATAGAGCAATACTTATCTCATTCAAATCTCTTTCCTTCTTATCCAGAAGCCACCTCTCATCCTCAATCATCCATCATTTAAATATTTAATAACGAGCACCAGAGATTTTCCTTGTCAACCTTAATCTTTGCTAAACACTAGAAACACCATACTTGAAACACTAGAAATTGAATATTGTCGAGGGGCCTTTTCTACCAGACACACATGTCATCTTGAAGTTCCGGCGACCGAAATATTGTAGTATCAAGACCACCCGCATCAAGCCATCAAAGAGTCCAAGTATGTCATGTTGTTATATGGATTAGCGCTCGCCAATGTTCTTGGGAGAAGGAAGTGAGGTACGAGACACAAGCGAACTCTTAGATGACAAATACGGCCGCTTTGGTCGTGGCAAGGCTATGGCCGGTGGCTAAAGCGACACCAACACCAACCGTGGATGTGTGCATCGACCAAGGGGATAGGACCAGCAACGAACTATGCCAGCGTGTTGCAAATGCGAGCTAACTTGAAACAATGCAGGTTCAAATTGAGCAAACAGAGAAGGGAAAGGGGTACAGTCCGAATAGAGCATTGTGATCTCTGAAAGGGATCTCTGAAAGTGATACCTTCAAAATGGGGACGACATTGAACAAATGCCGCTTATCGTGCATCCGGTTAAACAAAATGAATGTTTTCATCCAAGCCTCCTAAGCGAAATGGGCCAGAGGTGCTATAACGGCTCTTATAGGTAGGAAGATAATTCACAAGGACATCATCATCACCAGTATTGGTCTTGAGCCAGGTAGAGCTTTCTCCTAGCACACACCATGGCCAATCTGCTAGGATCTCGGCCATCACCACGCCGCCCATTGGAAGTCCACTGCAAATCCGGGAGGGGAGCCACTGTAGCAACCCCAATGTAAAGCTACGGCTACCACAGGAGGGAAGCCCAGCCCACTTCACGACATCGGATCAGCTAACCGCCGACCATAACATCTTCCTTAATTCCAACAGAATGAGAATCAAGGGAGGAGCCCGAGGAAAACTGTACATGGCCGCCAACAATGAGGGCCGGCTAGGCAATATTCAAAATTGGCACTAACAAACCACCAAGACCCAAGGAGAAGGCCCCAGCTCTATCGTCGTCCTAGCGGGTGCACAGACTTTTGGCTATGACATGGTGGGGGAAGGCGATAGAGAGGAACTGTGAGGGCAGGGCGGCAGGTCACCCTTAGGGGACAACACGAGCAAGCTCTTTATATGGCCGTCCTATCATCTTTCTAGCTTATCCTAAGACCACTGGTGACCATATTGCCTTCGCAGGGTGAGAGCCGGCCACCCCCAACACCATAGCCATGATTATCCACTATGGTTATGGATGTGGTGCCATCTAGTCGTTGCCACAGGCTACAAGAGCTCGAGGAAGGCAAGATATATAGCCCCACAACTAGAAATCCGCATGCAGCGGCGAGGGATGGTGGGTGCCGACTGCCCCATTCTTTTCTTACTAAGACGCAAATTTTACCCCGTTCTTTTCTAATTAAGATGCATATTATACCTTTGTTTCCATTAGCACTTTTTTTAAACAGTTAAACAGTGCTACCTATGTCCGAAAATGTACTCCCTCAGTCACATAAAAAACCAACATAGTATTGGATGTAACACATCCTAATATTATGAATCTTGATATACCTCTATTTATTAGATACACTGTATTAGAATATGTCACATCCAATCATAGATTCGTATTTTATGGGACGGATGGAGTAACTGTTTGTAGGACATCGCATTATCCTAAATGAAGCTATTTCTCCGTATATCCCTCCTCTCAAGTAATCACAACATTTCTCTATTTAATTTATTCACCTACTTTTTTCTCAACAAATTACAACATTTCTCCGATTATTATCACATACTTTTTTAATATACTTGTCTATCTTAAAAAAATGCTTACATTTTGGGACGGGATAGTACGTTTTGTAAGAAAACCTTTCTACATATAAGTTTTGTAAAATATCAAATAAATATATTTTTAAAGTTTATAACAACTAAAACTCACTAAACCAATCGCTAAATGACCTTCCCGAAACCCAGGGCCTGGTAGTAATTCAACTCAACCTTGCAGTTGATATTTGGGAAAAAGAACGTTTTAAATAATTTTCTCAGCGTGAACAACAATAGTTCTACAGCAAACTGGACCTCTTCTCATCAGCAAAAACAACTACTAACAAGATTACTGCGACGCCGCGTGCATCCACGATCCATATCCATCTATTTACATCTCTCCCTGCAAAAACCACAACGTCAGCAAGCTCCGGCGTACGGTCATCAATCCCATATCGTCGTCGCATTCTTCGGCGTGTGCATCTCGTTGTACGGCGGGGCCCCGCCGCCGCGGGAGACCGGCCGGCCGGACCGGACCGCCACCGGCATCATCGGCGGCGGCGGCGCCGCCACGTAGTTGCTGCCTCGCACGTAGCCACCACCACCACGCGTGTCGTACCTCCCCACGCCGGCGTGGTGCGGCACCGGCACGGGCGCCGGGGCGTACTGCCCGTGCGGGTGGTAGTAGCTGTGGAAGCCGCCCTGCGAGACGAGGTGGCCGGCGCCGGCGTGCACAGGCGAGCTGCCGCCCATGTATCCCGCCATGCCGCCGCCGCCGCCACCGACGTCCGCGGCGTGCTGGTGGTAGTGCTGCGGCGACGCGTCCAGGCTGCCGAGGTTCGGCGTGCTCCGGACGCGCTGCATCTTGAGCCCGAACACGGCGGGGTGGTCGGGGCCCACGGCGTCGGCGCGCGGGGAGTTGCCCGCCGACACGGCGCCGTGCGAGTGTCCGGCGTACGGCGGGCTCCCGTCGGGCGTGGCGACGTAGTGGTCCGGCTGGAAGTGGTGGAGGTGGTGCTGGAGGAGGTGGTGGTGGGACGCCGGCGGCGCGTAGCCGGCGTGGCGGGAGGTGGACGGGACGGCGGCGGCCACCGGCGGCTGCGAGGAGAAGACGTAGACGCGGAACCGCGGCGACGCCGACGGCGACCGCTTCGCCTCGAAGCGGTCGTACTCGTCGAGCATGTGGGTCAGGTCCTCGTCGCAGGTGACGGAGACGAGCACGTCGAGGTCCTCGGCGACGAGCTGGTACTTGATGGCCGCCACCTCCGTCCTGAACATCTCCTCCACCTTCTTCTTCAAATCTGCACGCGGCGAGAGAGAGATTACGCGGCGCCTCGGCGGCAAGACATGGCCAGGCCGGTTACTTCGGGAATCGAGCACGCACCGGAGAAGGGGATGGAGCGGGGCACGGCGAGGACGCGGGTCTCGCCGCCGATGTACTTGAGGGCACCGTCGGACGGCCGGGGCATGATGCGGCCGCCGAAGCTGCAGAGTATCTTGATGCGGCTGCCGCCGACGACGACGCAGGCCCCACCTCCGCCGCCGCTGCAGATGCTGGTCGGCGAAAGGTGCACGTCGTCGTCGGTCGTCGTGCTCCCGGACTCCGACGTCGTCGGCCGCGCAGCCATAGCTTCAACTCGGAGACAACCAGGCTTGGATTCTGAATTTATTTTGAACCTGCACAGAAATTCGATCAATGCACACGACAAAGAAACCTCCTACTACGACGAATCATCCATGAAAGAATTCCAAGAGCAACACGTTTCTCATCGCACACCACAAATAACCGTCAGAAAGATCTCAAATTTTAATCTCATTCCGCGTCGTTGACTCGAAAGAATCCGCATTGCAAATTGCAACTAAGCACACGGCCAAATTGTGCGACAATATGAACCCATTTCTTGAGAGCAAAACTGCCCGCATGAGACAAGATTACTACGAGAATGGTCAAAGAAGCAATCTTAGGAAAGAGAGATTCCGAAAGCAACACCTAGTACTTTCCCATCAACCGTGCAGTGTGCAGACACGAAAATGCCATACGGATTATCAAGGGATTTTATTTTTTTGGGGATGGCAGAGCAATCAATCACGCCCATGGAGTTAGCGACAGCACATGAGATGCCAGCCTTGCAAGCTATGGACTTTATCGCTACGGCATTATCCTTCTCGAGACCACGAGAAGAGCAAGAAAATAAAAGAGAGAAATTTCTTTTCTTTTTTTTTTCGGCGCATTTCTCTACAGCGATGAATCGAAATTCAGATCAAAGCGATTAGCCGATACCTATCCTCAGATGGGACTCAGGAAACAACCGGTCCGACGACGAACTGCAGATTCTGAAACCGAAACTGCAAGAAACCAACTCATCAGCATCAGACGGGATGAGCAAGAACAGTACTAGCGGGAGAGATCGATTGAAAGCAAAGGAGAAACCGAATCGGACTCACCAGAACGGAAGAGACACAATCCACACAAGAACTGACGGCGGTGGAAGAAATCCGCCGAGAATAACTCTGTTCTTGAAATGATTGATTCGATGAACCCCAACCCAACCCAAATCAAATCAAATCAAAAACGATTTGGGGGGAGGACAAGACTACCACCCACCAATCCCAAGAAAACCTAATCCTTTGCAGGATTTGATCAATCCTCCAACCAGGAAGAAAGAAGGAAGGAAGGAAGACAGAGAGCTGACCAGCAATCTCCCCTCGTCGTCGGAGGAAGAAAGAACAAAGACAAGGTAGGATTGGGATTGGGATTGGGATTGGACGGCGGCTGCCTGGATGGATTTTAGACCGGGGCCCTGGATTTGGGGGCGCTATTCTCGGTGTCCCTCCCGTGCCTGGGAGCCGCTAATTTCCCTCCCCCACTTCCTCCGCGGCCCCCGCCCTCGTGCCGTCTTGTCCCGGCTCGTGTATAAAAATCCCTCCTCGTCGCGCGCGCCTCACCCCCCCCCCCCCAAAAAAAAAGTCTCGCATCGCGCGGTTGCGTTGCGTGCTCGGTTTCTGGGCCTTCCGGGACGGCGCCGGTTGCCGAACTGACGGGCGCCGCGTGCGCGCGGGCACGCGGTGTGGCCGCGTGGGGTGTTGGGCGCGTATCGTGCGTGTGCTTGGCGTGATGTTTTACTACACTGGTACGGGACGTTGCGTCGCGAAAAGAAAATTTTGGATGTCATATCAGATGCTTGACCGTATATCGAAAAGAGTTTTTGGACATGAATGAATCGTCTGAAAACCGTTAGATGAATCTTTTGAGCCTAATTAATCCATCATTAGCACATGTGGGTTACTGTAGCAGTTATGGCTAATCATGGACTAATTAGGCTCAAAAGATTTGTCTCGCGATTTCCTCCCTAACTGTGTAATTAGTTTTTTTTAAATATATATTTAATGCTCTATCCATGTGTCCAAAAATTAGATGTAATGTTTTTGGGAAAAATTTATGGGAACTAAACCAGGCCGTAGTCGTTGGCGAGAAAAATAGCAATATGCAACTTGGGTTTCCACCACCGACTAGAATGCCAAGGGTAAAATACCATTTAATAGGTTGCCTTTATGATATTTTGCCGCTTTAAAAATTTTAAGACCACGGTACCTCTGTCATGGACAGAGAGGAATGTAAAGGGGATCGCTGGTGAGAAGGCCGAGGGATGGTGGCCGTGCTCGCCAGTGGCGGGCGACGAGTGTGCAGGGACGGACGGCGATTGGGCGGAGGAGGATGGCAGTGCCAAAGAGGGTGGAGGAGGGGGCGATGAGGTGGAGGCGGGTGGCGGTAGGGACGACAGGCTGAAGGGAGAAGGCGACGATTCGTAGGGCGGTGCTCGTAGCTTGCGGCGTGTGCGCACGCTCACCGCTTCCACCGGTGATGGGAGAGAAGGACGGACCGAGTGGCATCCCGTCCACCTTGCCGCCCATCCTCCTCTCAGCGTCGGCACCACTGTTGTCCGCCCAGTATCGACGTCGTCGTCCTCATCCCCTCGTCATCGTGCGGGTTGACGAGCGCGCTGCCGTCCGGGATGTCACGGAAGACCGTAGGATGCGCCCCACGACCGCAGCCGGCGCCACCGCCGCCCTTGCCGATGCCGGAGGAGGAGAAGCCGCAGGCTGTGCTCGTGGTCCACCGCTGTCAAGCACAATCGCCGTCCCTTGGCATTCTTGCCAACGCTCCCTTCTCCATTCCTCTCTGTCCATAACAGGGGTACTGTGATTTTAAAAACTTTTAAAGTGACAAAATATCTTAAAGACAATCTATTGAGTGATATTTTATTCGTTCGTGCAAACCCAGGGATAGAATGGCATATATTGTCTTTTTCTCGTGGTCGGCGCACGGCAGGACTCGGGAGGCGGCAGTGGCGGACCTACAGTAGGACATGGGGGTACAGTTGTACCCCTAAATTTTTTAACAATCTACTATGATTTAACAAGTATAATATTGTCTGATAGTTCAAAACACCCATTCTTAAGTACAAAATCATACTTTCCAATAGTATTATAAAATTTTTCTTAGCTATTTTGTTATTTCTATAATAATCATTTTTATTTGCATTAGTAACCTATGTTAGCACTTTATTTTTTTCTCATTGGACGGTGCTTTGGTAGATCTGTACGCCATCATCGAAATCCTGCGTCCGCCACTGGGAGGCAGGAGCGGGAGGGTGGATAGGCTAGGTAACACGGATTGATCCCGTCTGCGACCTCCGCGAGAGGGCACTAGGGACTTTGGTTGGCACTCGCTCGCGTCTCTACTCTACCCTGCAGATTACGAGAGTATGGAGTCCAAGACTAGTGAACACCGGTGAATTTGTTATTTGTCAACCGCCTGTATCTCATGGCACTTGAGAACAATGCTTCCCCGATGCTAATGCTACTAGTCACCAGTGACTAGTCAACGGCAACGACCTGCTCTCGCTGGTGTGACTGAATGCATGCGCATGCAGAGATTGGAGGGAGATGTGCCGGGAATTTAGGCCCAGCTAACATTATTCTGGGCCTCTAGTAATTGGCCCAAACGCTCCCAAAGCAGCCCAATGGGCGAGCTGAGCTGAGCTGAGCCCAGCTTGACAAACTGGGACGAGCGGGGCCAACGCAAGGAGCCGACAGGCGACAGCGGTGGAGCCCATGGATGGAGAAAATGGCGCACGAACACCCACGACTCCATTGACTCCGGTCGTCCGGCGATCGATGGCATTGGCATCAGACCCATCTCACATTTCCACAGTGACAACCCCGAGTACCCCATCGCCATCACCGCGCGCATCACGGCAGAGCCCCCACATGTCGTCCCCCAAGTCTCGTCAAGATCCCACACATGCTCCCCATCGCTGCTGGCACGCGCCCGTACCGGCTCATGCGCAGCTCAGCCGTCCTAGGATCATCATTAGCAGCTGCATCAGCTGGTTTTTAACTTGCTTAATTTGTTCGTCGCGATTTTAACTCGACGAACCCGAAACGAGATCATTCTCGGAACACGCGGCAGTAATATATCAGCAAGGTTTACAGATTGACGCACACACTCACACTTGCAGTTGATTGTTACTACAGCCGGAGGAGCTTCTTGCAAGCCTTCATGATTCTGCCGCCCTTCTTCTTCTTCGGCGTCGCCGTCGCAGTCACCGACACCTTCTCGTCGGCGGCTTCGGCTAGCTGCTCTTTCTTCTTCTCGTCGGCGGATTCAGCTAGCTGCTCTTTCTTGTCCCTCTCTTCTTCCTCGGCGGCGGCGGCGGCCGGATTGTCGCCGTCGTCGTCACTGTCGCCGTCCATGTTGTCGTGGATCCTCCAGTAGTACCCGTCGCCCTTGCCGAGGCCGGCGGGGTGCCTCCGCATGGAGAAGGCCCTCCTCACCGCGCCGGGGAGGCCGCCGCCGCCGCCGGCCGTCCTGCCGACCCTCTCGCCGGCGCCGGACCTGGAGGAGGAGGAGATCCTGTGGGAGCCGGTGGAGAATGTCCTGGCCAGGGTGACCGCCCCGATGGCCAGCCCTTCCCACGCGTTGGTCTCCTTGGTGTTGGTCAGCTCCAGCGATCGCCTCGCCCTGCACCCGGCGCCGTTGCCGGCGGCGGCCACCGGAGGAGGAGACGACGACGAGCAGGCGAGGTTGGAGTAGCCATGCATCTCGCAAAAATGGCTGGAGATCTGGGTGTTCTTGATGAGGGCGTTGGATAGCTTAGCTTAGCTCCGATTTGTAGCTTCGCAAAATGGAGCAGCTGGGGTGAGAGAAAGAAAGTGTGTGTGCGCGCTACTCATTTTAAGTTTTTCTACGCTGTTTTTCTACCGGTGGCCACTCGTCTTATTATAAATAATTAAAATTATTATTTATTTTTTATCTACTTTATTATTTAAAGTATTTTAAGCATAACTTTTTTTCTTATATTTGCACAAATTTTTTAAAGATAAATGATCAAATAATAAAAAAAAATCATTTATATTATAGGACGAAAGGAGTAATTAGCAGGACAAAATCAATAAACCATGGACAATTGAGTAGGTGAACCCTCCTGTGGAAGCATCCAAGATTTGGACAGAATAAAAAAAAACTCACCTCTTCTCACCTGATCAAATGTAAATAGTACTGGGTATCTAATGCATGGTAAATTTCGCTACCTTTATATACCAAAGAACTCTTGGTGAAAGATTTTCTTTTTTTTTTCCTGTTGATTCGGTTTTGACAGTTAAAACGAGAAGGTGATGAGTGGCCGGTGCAAAGGGGTTAACTACGGGAGGGTTAAACAGGAGCAGGGTTGTCAGGTTTTTCAGTTTAAAATATTACGTGGATTAGAGAGTTGTCTGTTGGAAGAGACGGAACGAATGGTCGGTCTATTTTAGCCAAGGCAAGTGCGATGCCGCTCATGCGCCTAGCTGATTTTTTTTTTATATTGCGTGGCCACATGATTCTGGTGGTTTTAATAGTTTTCTTGCTCGTACTGTCTTTGACTTAGGCAGCGGCTAGTCAGAAACTCACATGCCGATAAGTTTACTGTTTACATTTACCGAGAAATCGGGGAAGGAAAAATGTAACTGCACTCATGTTAAATTGTCAATGAGCAGAGTGGAAAACAGAGCGCAAATGAAGGGTTCAGAGTCTCTATCTCCTTTTCTTTCCTTCTCTTTTCCTTTCTTTACTTTCCTTTTCTTCACTTTTCATTTCTTGCCTTCTTCTCGTTTTTCTTTTAGACAGGGACAAAGTTCATCGCCATGATCTGTATCAATCGTCGAAAAGCAGAACACCGGTTTTCTGAGAGTTTATTTACCTCCCTCAACTATTGCCAAAATCGAATTGTAACCCTCAACCGCAAAACCGAGTATAGAGGCTCCTTCACCTATGAAAATTGGATCAATTTACCTCCTCAAGCGGTTTTATCCTACGTGACATGTTGATCAGGAAAAAAAAAGATAGGAAGGTGAGAGAAGAGGAAGAGATGAAAGAGAGAGAGAAAGAGGGGGGGGGGGAGAGGTGAGGGAGAAGATGGGATGAGGTGGCCACTGATAAGCGGGTCCCACCTGAAGACTCAGCGAGTCAACTACCACATGTAGGTGCCTCCGAAAGGTTATACCTGTTTTACGGTTGAGGGGTTTGATTCAAGCAAGGGCATGAGTTGAGGAGGGCATAATAGACTTATTACCGTCCGAAATGAGCTGTCTGCTTGGACCAAACCCTGCTGAAATGCAGGCTACAAAAGGACAAACGGCCCAATAAAATGAGCCGTCTTCTTGGGCCAAAAGCAGGGTAACACGACAACAAAGCTGTGACGGCCCAGCCCAAAGCCCGACCACTGCAATTTGCAGTTTTTGCACGCATCCAAAACTACGGAATAAGTTCACTTTGGGACCCTCAAAGTCATCGAAATCTAATCTGTCACCCTAAACCACAAAACCGGATATTTTGACCCCCCAAACTCTTAAAACCGATGCAATTTGACTCCCTCGGTGGTTTTAGAGGACGGTTTCGCTGACGTGGCGCCTATATGGCAATATTGACTGAGTCTTCGTTACACGTGGCATTGATGTGACACTTATGTGGTATTAGAATTAAAAAAATATGCGTGAGACCCATTAGTCATTCACATAAAAAGAAATATGAGTCCACTGATATGTGAGGCCCACATGTAAGTCCTCCTTCCTCCTCCCTCTCTCCCTTCTCTCTCTCCCCCCTTCTTTCCTTCGACTCACAAACCTGTGCGACAGTGGATGAACAACAATGGCTTTCGCACACAGTATTACCAGATGAGATCATGAGACATGAATTTGCCCATCAACGGCTTAAGAACGTCACGCACTTTCACCGCCATCGACGCAACAATTCCGATATGAATCACACACTAATTTAACAACAACTCCTGCATTTTTTTACATGTTGCCCCTCTATACAGGCATACAGATTCAGAGACAAAAGCACGGGTCGACCATGAGAGAGTACGAGCATACGTCACGGTGGCACGAAGCAGTGGCGATGTCCATGGGGAGGCCAACGCACGCCTTCCCTCGGCCACGGGAGCAGCGGCGCCGGCTGCGCCAGGAACGTCGGATACCGCTGCCCCGGCATCAGCACCGTCAGATCCTCCGCCGGCACGACCTCCAACTGCACCACCAAACCAACAAGCGAATTAGGGTCTTATTTGGGAAGCTTAAAATTTCCGAGAATCCGCGTTTTTTAGTTTCTGACTGTTAGTTTATTTTCTGTATTCTACTGGTACATATTCTCATAATTAATTTGAGTGACAATCTGTACTATTTATAGAGTTGGAGATTCTGTCGGAAACTGCAACTACTACAAGCTCCTCTAAACAGATCCTACGTCTCATTTTGAGAAGCATACATAATCTAAAAAAATGCCATGATTAAATGATTCTTATCTCCCGAAAGGATATCCCCTTATGTACTTTTTTTTACTCTCAAATTGGATGTAATTGGTTGTGAAAAAAAGTATTTAAAAGTTTTGACAATGTAGTAGAACATAATAACATCTATCGCTAAAAAAAGATAATCAAATTCGATCTATATATTAAGAAAAAGAAAGCAAATTCAGGTCTAAATAGTACCAATACTATTTATATGTCGGATTTGTCTTTTTACTTTTGCCAATGTGCACGTTGAGTTTTGACTTTATCTATATTGTACGAATGTTTTTTTTGAATTTTCTAACAACTACTATTTAAATGGTGTTTGAACAAACAAGAAACGTCTACTCGATAATTTAAAACAGTTTCCCCGTTTTTTACTACCAGCTTATTATGGATAAGAATCTGAAGGCATTTCAGTTCCAGGTGAACCAAACGGCCGGTTGCAACGCGCACGGCTGCACTGTAGCCAGCGACTTACGTACGTACGTAATACATGCTGGCACTGTAGCGTGCAGCTACCGGCGTACGCTGCTGGTGTTGTTACTGCTATGGCACGAGCGAGGCAACGTACGTCAGTACGTGTCGTCTTCCCACACTGACACCGCTGCACGTGAGCGTGACACCCCGTGAAATTTACAGCTGCATTCTTACTACTCACCTTGCCCGGTGTACAGAAGAGCTTGTCCGGCGAGACGCCGGCGGCGGCGGCGGCGGCGTGGTGGGACGACGACGACTGGCCGTGCCCGTCGCCGTCGCCGTGGGAGGCCCGGGAGGAGGAGGAGGACGACGACGACGACGAGGAAGACGAGGAGAGGCTGGGCTTGATGAGGTGCTCGAAGATGGCCATGAGGAGGAACATGGAGATGAGGATGGCCGTCGCCGCGAAGCCGAACGAGATGGCGCTGGCGTTCGTGGACGCGTCGCCGAGCCCCTTCGCCGCCGCCGCCGACGCTGCGCCGCCGTCGCCGTCGTCCCTGACGTCTCCGCCGCCTCCGCCTACGCCGCCGGCCGCCGCCTGGTCCGACGCCGCCGCGTCACCCATCCACGGCCTCGACCTCTGCCCCGCGAAGCCACTCATGGCCCTCGCTGCTCGACTGCTTCGTGCGGTTTCTTGGATTTGATTTTCCACGAAATTTTATCGCACCTCGTCGTCGCGCTGCGCTGCACCTGCACGCCTTGGCTGGTAGAGGAAATGCAGGCGTCAGATACGGTTGAGCTTTTGCCAAAAACTGACCGTCATGCGCATGTGCCGCTTGTGAAAGGAGATGTCACATTGTACATGTGAAGAGCCAACAGAAATGAAAAAAAAAACAAAAACAAAATGAAATGCAGCATATGATGCGTGGTTGGATAAGCAACTAATTAATCAAGCATTGCCCTGTGGCTATCTGAACCACAGCGCTAATGTCATCACCACGTAGGTCTATGAGACGTCAATAATCAAAGAATCAGTTTGGGGGGGGAAGAAAAATCAATAATGCGTTGTTCATGAAGAGTAAAGCTGAAAAGCATTCTGAAAAAAAGGAGGAGAATGGAAAGAACAGAGAAGCAGGAGGAATTGTCTGAAACGCAGTGGTTAGTCAGGAGTACCTAAATTGCAGGCAAAAGAAGCTCACCTTTAGCACTGGTACTTCCTTCCCTGAAGCAGCAATGGCCTATTGCAATGCCTGAGCCCAACTAGTGTTTTTGCCTCAAAATGACAAGAACCTACAAGATGAGCAATGCCTTGGCTGTCTCTTCTACTTAAAAGGGAGATCTCAGCCACTGAGGAAATGGTGGTGTGGTGGCATTGTGGAATGTGGAGTGGTCAAGATGGGGAAGAGCAAAAGGAAAAGGTAGAAGAACAAAAAGAGTGTGGGGGATATGTAAACCTTCTACAGAAAACACAGCAGATGATAAAAAGAGATTTCAGCAACAGTTTGATGGGCAAGAAAGCTGCAAGAATGGGGCAAAAAAAAAAATAATCTCAGAATCATGTTTGGGCACCTCAAAAGAGTGGCTACTCACCCCCATGCACACTCACTCTGTAGCAGCCCACATGATCCTAAGACCATTGTAATTGTAGCCTTGTGAAGAGAGGATGTAGTAGGAGAGGAGGAGGATGAAATGATTCAAAGGGCCCAAGCAAAAGGCAAAGCTAAAGGGAGGAAAAGAGTAGAAAGCAGCACATAAAAAGAATGGAACTCTGGCCTTGTGCAGGATCCAATCAGATATGCAAATAATTGCGCATGTCAGGTCATTCAGGTAATTGGCAGTGTACTGTCCCTGCCAAGAATTCATCCATTTCTAGCACCACATCTCTTTGCAAGTTTGATGTGATGCCAGTTTATAAGTTTAAGAATACAATGTGATTACATATTCAGAATTGACAAGGGGTATTGTGATGAGTTTGAGAGAGATTGGGGCACTGATAAGCAAAGAACCTCTCTTTGCTTCCAAGGGAAAAAAAACAGCACAGTGTAATGTTTGTTGTGATGGGAAGCAAGAGATGCTCCTTATTATTGTGAGTGAGTGAGTGTGTGTGGTAGGATGGGAGGAGGAGGAAGACAGGGAAGCATGGCCTTTTGAGACTCCAAGGCAACCGGGGCCCTACTGCCAGCAGCTCTGTGGATCATCTGCAACCACATGGTCATTGTACACTCCTCATCTGTTCATGTTTCAGTCCATCTGAATCTCTGACCTCAACTGGAGTACCATTTTGACAGATAAATACTACCAGTACCATGCATGATCTAAATATCAGCATTACTGCAAGAGCAGGTGAAGAAAAATGATGCAACTTTAAGCATCTTTATCATTCAATCATTTCAATGCCATTGCCTTAAGTACATGCACAATGCAAGATTCATGTATAAGAGTTGATTTATTTTGAAAGAGAGAGAAAGTAGTGTATAAGAATTGATTGTATTTTGAGACGGAGCATATGGGTCGTACTCTGACGCACAGAGGCACATGAGCCTTGCTGCCACAAGAGATGGAGGATGCATCCCAACATGTCAATAACTTTGTCTGGGGAAGTAAGTGCATGGTGCCCCAGGACTCCAACTCCTAACCAACATTCAACTAGATTTTTGATTATAAAACTAACGCACATTCAGCTGGGTATAGTTTTCTCCTGGACAGCTCTCCTCAAGTCTTGGTCTTCAGTTCCAAGACTACTTGAACAGTAAGATACTCGGAGCCCATGCTGCTCAAATCCATCCCATGCAAATGTGCAATTCAGATGCATCAAAAATCTCACTTAGGATCCTCTTGGGAACCATCAGATCCGCGCAAAAAGTTGCGTGTCAATTGTGTCAGTGGAATGCTTGGTCTGACTTGTTCTGCTTTTCAGAAATGGTATACCCCAGTTTACAACGAAGCTACTACCGTGGTAATCATCAGTACATCTACAATGACGGCGTTGTGTCTACTGGTAAAGTGAGTATAGTGTCCTTCAAATTGGGTGATTCTTTTACTACTGCACCTGACCTGAGTGATTAGTAAGTTGGTAACTGATGATTAGGCATCTAAATCTGAAGTTACCATCCTTATCATAGCATTGTTCTTTCCTGTACCAGCTTGCTTTGTCATTGTCTCCTCTCACTGAACAACATCTAGTCTACCTAGATAAAATAAGGCAATGCTACTGTAATTTCATAATCTTGCCTCCAAAGTGAGTAATTGGAGGCACGATTAAAGTGCAGCTTCCACTACTTAAATCTCAGCACGCCAATTGCTTTAGCCTGGAGAGCACTGGTTCACGAGGACAAATACTAGCTAGCTAGCATCAATGAGGGTCATATTCAGATACACTCCCTAGTCATGTGCAACAATTAGTTTACAAATCTCAAAGAACATACGCTTCCGTGCATCTTTGATCGAAATGTATAATATAATCCCCTGAACGTATCTGTTCTTGGGAATGCAGATATCGTTGCGAGGAGCACTGATCACCCAAGAAGCAAAGGAATGGAAGAAAGATCGATCCAAATTAATTGTTGAGACTAAACCAAATCGTAATATGGACTCCTTGCTCCAGCTTTACGTTGCACTAGTATCCCAGCACAAGCAATCTGCAGTCCCTCCACAGAGAAAAGCACACTGGAAATAAAGAGAAAACAGCAAGGATGCCTCCAAGAAAGATGAAGAAATCATCAGCTCAGCCAAGTTTTGGACACAGAAAAGAGGAGATGGTTCTCAATGCATGGGACTATAGATGAGACTAACAAAAAAAAATGATCATGCAAAGGCGAGGCATGACAGAAGGACGTGCTAGGCAAAAGCCTAGACCGGATGGAGCCAAGGGGAAATTAAAGAATGGAGATTGTCACACGAGCAGGAGAACACTTGACAGGAGGATTAGACTGGATTGGTTGGTTGGGGGCATTGAATTGGTTCTGAATTGCTGCAGAAAAAAAACACATCAAATCAAGTCTGAGGATGATTATATCTACTGCTAATTATATCTAGTAACTAGGAAGGTGGCCCGCGCGGGCACTTATATTATTGAAAGGTAATATTACTATTTTTTAAAAAAAATTGTTTCATAGATTAAGGGCAAATTAAAGTTCAAATAATATTATTTTATAATAATTTAAGGGTTATATTTTTCTTAAGGTATCTTAAAAAACCATTCACAAACGTTTGAGTAGGAGATGGATTAAGTACTTACAACTTTTGAATCATTTGTTTTTCTCTCTCGAGTAAATAAGAAATGAGAAACTATTGCTAGTTGATTATTATACAGTCCATCTATATCATACAGTGTAGTATGGCCACAAATGAAAAATACGAGACTAAGATACTCAAAATTCTTGTGATTAAATCATCTCATGAAGGCGCATGATATAGTAAGAAAGGGAAGGAAGACTATGCATGGAGAAAAAAGAAGAAAGGGAAAAATAAAAAAAAAGGAGGGGAAGCGTAGTACCCACGTACGTAGGTGTGTACCTGTGCCGTGGGAGGAGAGGTGGGACCTTGTAGTATTTAGTTTGTTCTAAGATCAATTTAATCTAACAAATTATGATATTGGACGTACAGATTATAATATTTAGATACCTTGTTTTTTTTTCCTAGAACTTCTAATATTTGCTCTAATTTATTAGAGCTCCGTGTGGCAGCTTGAGAGCATTTTAAGGAATTTTAAAAGACTTAACACATGTAATTAAAATATTAACCGCATAATATGTATGTATGGGGTATATGGTAATATTTGTTCCAACTTTGTCCATGGTTATATACATGTAGAGAGAAATTAATTATGTGGCTACAAGCCACTGGATGTCTAATTAATAGCAAATAATTTTGCCGCATATTTACAGTTGTTCATAGTAGCTCTTACATATTCATCTTATGACTTTGATTATCCGTTGATCCCCAATTTAATAATCACCATGACTCGCATGAAAAAATGTACTACTTAAGGTTTAGGACAGGTGAAATTGATGAATTATTTGTTTTATGCGATAGCTATTTGAGGGTATAAACAAATGAATTGACTTCTAAAAAGTTAAAATGTTGTTTAAAACAGACACCATTTAGAAACTTGGAAAGGTGCAAACAAAAATCCAAACTATGGAATCGGAAAAAAAAGATGGCATTAAACTCCCTTATAACACCCTTGTCTTAGTAAGAGTTATATTGATATTAGTTAATATTGTGCTCGTATTTATAACATAATGATTTCTTTCACCGGTACAAACAAATTGTACAAAATCCAAATACGACATAACAAAATACATTATAATTATTCTGTAATCAACTCTCAGTTTCAGCTTAAACAGAGCTAAATGTTGGAAAAAAAAATCAAACCCTTGGTGCCTAATTCTTCTCTCGATGCATCACACCTTTAATTTTCTTTTTATGTTATTAGCAAAAATTAATCATATCCATATATGATTTGATATATGGCAAAGCTGTAGCGCTGCAACGGTCGTGATCACCTTAGATGCCTCAGACACGATGTTTTGTCATGCGTGCGAAAGGCAAAGGTGCAGACGTGCATTATGCAGCGGGCCAAAAAAAACTTTGGACATTTTATTTATTAGCAAACAATAGATCTGATGATTTAAATAATGGGTCCACTAGTCCTAGTGTAAGTGTAAATTAGTTAATATAGATTTTAAATTGTTAATTAAATGGGTACACAATATATAATGGTATATACTTTATTTTAAAACAAACCAAATACTATGGAGTCCCACCTCTCCTCGAAACAGTGCATTATTTGAGAATAATAATCCGCTGTAACAAAAAATAGATCCGATGATTTAAATAATGGGTCCATCAGTTTAAGTGCACGTATAAATTAGTTAATATAGATCTTAAATTGTTTATTTGATAGGTACACAATATAATTGTGGAAACTTTATTTTAAAATAGTGCATTATTTGAAAATAATAGTACAAGTAATGAGTACACCGGTTTAAGTGGGAATTATTTTACATTATTAGTTTAATGGGTAACATATAATGTGTAAATTTTATTTTCAATAATTGTAGAGCTGTATGACGGTAGACTCTTTGTTTGTAAAATTATGATTATTTAAAAGAAATATATCCATTATATAATGAAAAAAAGAAGAAAAAAAGGAAAAAAAAAGGAAGGAAGCATACGTACCATACATGGTACACGTTTGCATACATATGTGCGGATGAAGGAGGAGAGGTGGGACACCATAGTATTTGGTTTGTTTTAAGATCAATTTCATCTAACGGTGTATAATTTTGGACCCACCAATTTAAGTGAAAAATCAATGGATAGATGCTTTGCTTTTTTCTTAGAATTTCTAGGATTTTCTTTAATTTATTAGAGCGCCACGTGGTGGCCTGAGAGCGTTTGTAAAAAGTTTAATGCACTTTTAGTATATAATAGATAAGTGAAAAAGAGGAGGCGGGTCCCTCTTCCTGGTCGCGTTTTGTTTTCTGCCTTTTTTTCACTCGGAGAGATGAAGTTGGAGAGAAACTGCACATGCATGTGCGGTGGCCTTTGCTGCGTGTCACCTTCTTTACCACGCCACCTTGTTGTCTTGAGGGAGAGATAAGAAAAGAGTATGAAACAAAAAGAGCAAGAAAAGAAAGGATGGCAAGTTGGCAACGTGCATCGGTGCGAGATGGGTAGAAGAATAATTCGTCGAATGAAATGCAACTTGTACAAATGAACAGGTCAGTAAACATTTCCGTTAAATATTTCTGAAAACAACTTGTAGCGAAGACGTCGATATGTCCGAGTGGTTAAGGAGACAGACTCGAAATCTGTTGGGCTTTGCCTGCGCAGGTTCGAATCCTGCTGTCGACGCTTCCATTTTTTCATTTTTGTTCCACGAATTCGGGTGCGAAGCTGATCGCGCGAAGGCACGTTGCAGATAGAAGAATTTTTTTCATTTTTAAATTTTTTTCTTTTAATATTTATAGAAATAATCTATCGGCGCAAAAAATTATAAAAATATACCATGCCGTCCTAGTAGAGGACGGCAAGCTGACGTAGCAGACGGTGGCTCGATGCCGCCGTCTGTGAAAATTACATTTAGCCCCTTGCCCCGTTGTAGGCCCAAGTCATCA